TCCTCTTCTTCTTCTTCTTCTTCTTCTTCTTCTTCTTCTTCTTCTTCTTCTTCTTCTTCTTCTTCTTCTTCTTCTTCTTTCCTTTCAGTCATGCAAACAAGAAACTGCTGTAGTAGCCTATTGCCTATTTTGGGTAGAATCAGGAAAAATCAAGTTGTGATATGCCATGACTGTTTTGCACAGGTGTTAGTGTAAGAAGAGAACATCATTCCGCTATGAGAATCCCAGATGGCATAGAGTTGAAATTCCCTCTGCATCCTGCACAGCATATGCAGTAGATGGTGTTCTGCTTGTTCCTAAAGAGGTCCAGAGATCTTCATTACAAACTCACCCTACTTTATTGTAATACTATGTATATCATCTTCCCCTTGGGGACAGTCTTTCTCTTGTTTGCTGCTATTTTCTTGGTATATACATTATTCCTTACAATAGCTTCAACTCCATATTTTCTGTGAAGTAATAAATGCAGGCATATTACTTTTTTGCTAAGTATGGTAAGCACATTTAGCTACTTACTGTCTTAATTCCTCCTTCCGGAAAGATTTGGAGATGGTGCAGGGGTTATCTGTTGATATGCAATCCACTGACATCCATTTCTTTTTTTCCATCCCAGTACCTGGCTTCACTTTTCATTACTTTGCCCCTCGTCCTACATACCCTGTATGCACTGAAAACTTTTGACAACACCAAGAGTAGTGAGTTCATTGATGGCACTGAATCTTCCTCTGTCAATGTGGTTGTGCAGCTCATGTCTACCACCAGAGCAATGCTATGTAACCAGGCAGTTCAGGAATCCCATGATGTGAGCTAGTGGTTTCAGTTGTTATTCCTGCTGGCTTGGCTTTGGAAATGGAGAGCACCTTGAGGACAACTTTCCGTTATAGGGCCATTTCTTATATGGCAAGTGGGGAAACCAAGAACATGAGAAGAAAAGTAGAAACCAGTGATTCGCTTAAACCCGGCTGCAAGTTATATGTTATGCATTATCTTTTTATTAATTTGCATATTTGTTTGTTTTGGCAGTGCTGTGGATTGAACCTAGGACCTTGGGCATGGTAGGCAAGTGCTCTACCACTGAAGTAGGCCCCTAGTCACATATTTATCTTCTTAAAATTTATTTTAGTAAGACTAAAATTAAATCTAATTTTGCATGAAGAAACAAGACCTCAGGAAAGTTTAGTTTTCTGCAGATTGTATGAACCACAAGAGATAAAATTAAGAGTCAGCTCAAGATTTTTATTCTTCCAAAGCCTGTGTATTTCTTGGTACCACACTACCTCTGATAGGAAGTTATTAAGGACCTCAACACATAAAGCCAGATCAAAACTACCTAACTAGTCAAGACTGGGTAGCACTCATATCTTCTAATGCCTAGTCTTCTTTATATTATACTTTTTATTCATTTAAATTTTTTATAAAACAATATGATACTAAAGTATCAGCAAAAAGAACCCAAGAAAATCACAATTTCACAATATAGTATATATCTGTGTACATGAATGATGAAAGCAAAGCGGTTTATCTAAAGCATGAAAAAGGAAGGATATTGCATCAATTTTTATGTTAGGGAAGGGTTTTCTCACAGATGTGAAATATTTGATAAAGTACAAAGCACATAAGGGAGTGAAGCATGTGCTCAGAAATATACCTTTGCCAATTTATTAAAGCAATGAAAGTTATAGTCTGTCTATCACAGGCTGACTGGAATGAGATGACAATGATGGTGGTGAAGAATAGAAACCTAAGTGAACTTACCTAGTGCGGATTGGGGGAGATTGTGCTGAATGTATGCCAGTGTGTCTAGGGAAAGCCTTGGGTGAGAGGAGGATCCTGGGTCAGGCATGCAAGATATCAAGATTTGTTCAGCTGCAAGTGTTCCACAGAGGGGAAGGGAGAGGGGTAATGAAGAAATGGCTCGAGTTGTTTCAAAGACATGACGGGAAATCCAACATTTGGAAATAAAGCTCCTGTGGTCTGTCTTCTGCTGGGCTTTGCTAATGGTACCGTGTCATTTGAGACTGCTTAGAGTCGTTATCCACATGAGAAGCCCCCTCCGTCTACCTAGACACTTATCAGCTCCTCTTTATCCCAGCTGACTGACCACCAAATCTTACAAAAATGTCTTTGACTTCACCTTCTACTCTGTTTTCCGTGTCCTATTTCAGCCTCTCATCCTCTCCAGCTAGGATACCCAAGACACCTTCCTAACCTAAGATCCTTCCTGGATCTTCCAGCCTGACTACCTCATACATGATTCAAATTATACCTTTCAAATTGCTTCTAGCAATTCAAATTATACCTTCTCACTTTGAGTCTAATGTCCTCAAATTTCCTTTTGTTTCCTGGAGAAAGCAGACCACGCTTTGAGCAGAGAATGTGGGGCCCTCCACCAGCCCACTACACCCTCCTTCAGAGCAACACAAGGCAGAGACTTTCAGTAGGCAACTGCTGACAGCTCTGCATGCAAGTCATGCTGTTTCTCACACCCATGCCTTTGCTCGAGGTGGTCCCTCTTCCTGCAAAGCATCTTTCACATCTTATACCTGCCTAGTGTTTTTCCCAGAACACTTTTCCCAAAGCACCGAATTGGCTTAGCCCCATCTGTATTTCTGTGCCATGTAGGGACACTCATTCTGGCATTTCTATATTAGCTTTTCTATGTTATGTCTCTCACTGTGTTCTAAGCTCCTCAAAGCCATGCCAATGTCTTATGTGACATGAATGACATGAATGTGATCTGGAAGAAAGTAGAGTGTTCTGTAACACAGTAATGTACAGAAATCCCTTTCAGTCCCCTAATTCTTGACTAAAAGGGGAGAGGTGTGTCCTAATTATCTGTGAGCTCCAGTTCTGTGTAGAGCCTGTTACGGGGTGGAAGTACATTTTCTTTGCCTTATAGGTGTGCTCTATTTAGTACAGATGCAAGTAAATGGTAATAATACAAAGATATATAAATAGATATAGACAGATTTCAGAAAGCTATATTCTTAATTTTGCATAATCTGGCTCTCTAACAGCCAGGAGGAGCCAGTTGTGAGGTCTCTCAGGCATTTATCACTCTCTGTGTCTTCCAAGTTAAGATAGCCTCAGTATGTGGGCAGGTGAAACACTTTTCCCCAGGAGACACAGGCTGCTAGTGGGCACACAGTGTTGTTACAATTACAGGCCATAAAGTATGACAGCCCGGCCCTCGATAATTGCTTCCCTTGGGAATTTCTTGGGGAGCTGCCCACAGAGAGGTGACTCTCCTGCCTGAAAGATGTGAATACTGTGTCCCACTTCTGGGGAATATGCTTCCCAGTAGTCAGGAGAAGGATTGCTCCACACTGTCCAATGCACCCCTGCACACTGACCAGCAAAATGAAGCCTTCCTTGCTCTAGTCCCTCTTTTTGATCCTAAACACAGGTCAATAGCATTGTGAAGTGTTTTGCATCTATTGTCTTAGAAAGCCTTCCACAAATGATGTTTTCTGCTTTGCCTCCCTGCACTCTGACCACAGACTTAAGTATTAATTATGCCATTTAGCATCAATTGCAATTTGTAATAACTCCCTATGACTGTTCCGATCCTTCATAAATAATACTGCCTTAAGGACCCTTTGTTTAGATAATAATGTAATTTTTATAACATTCATAAGCTCCTGTTTTCTTCTTTCCTTCAGGCAGGTAGCTCATCCCACACATACAGCACATGTCTGCTTTAGACTCACTTCTCTTCCTCCTACCCTCATTCCTATCTCTCCACCATCATCATGTTATAGAGAGTCAATGGGGCCTAGAATAAGGAGTCACTGTCCCTGGACCTCCTCACTGTGGCTCTGTGGTTGTGTTTCTTTCTCTGAGTGCAACGCACACTCCTCTCTTCTTTCTAACTATTTTGCTGCTGGCAAGACCTTCTGTTCAGCTAAGTTGAGGGTCAAGAAAACATTGTTGAAGTTACAATTCTCAGTGTCAGGATTTCACCAATGACTCACCTACTTCCTTTTGCCACCCTAGTCCTGAGCGGCTACATTTGATCACAGCAGAGAACTCAAGAAAAAGTTAGAAAAGCGCTGTTCTCCGTGATTAGTTCACCCCTCCTCAGCCTTACAAATTACTTTAGAGTCTCTCTACGGGGAGAAGGAAAAAAAACAAATTAGACTCATTTTGTCTTCCTTAATTGTATTATTTAATTTGGGGGGCAAGGTCCACTATGGCTCAAGGTCCCACCATGTAGTTGAGGGTAACCTTGAGCTCACTATGTAGCCCAGACTAGTCTCAAACTCATGACACTCCTCCTGCCTCAGCCTTTCAAGTACTGGGATTATAGGTATGCACCACTACACTCAGTGGTGATTATTTGAAAGTCTGATTTTCAGCATGAAGTACTTTCTACTTTTATACCATTTTAATTAATTAAATTGCTATTAGGAAATAGGATGTGATCTCATTCCTGAAAAACGTGCCATAAAAACACAACAAAATATGTGTACAAAAAACTAAAATAGCACAGATAAACAGAACTAGTGGATATTGAGAAACAGAACTCAGCATTTGAAGACATAGATGAAGCAAGTCTATAGTTTGAAAGGAAGCTTGAAATAAATATGAGCATTTCTGCTTTGAACAACTATTTTTGTTCTGTGGCCAAATGTTAACCTTCTAATGCATGCATAATACTTTATGAGTGTTTTTCACATGAGTCACTTCACTTGGAAATGGATCTTTCTGACTGAATAAAGAGAGTTCTTTTTGTTCTGTTGTGACCTATGTAGATTTTTTGTAATATTTTACTTTTGCTGTCTTGTTTTTCAGATCCTTACTTAAAAGAGTATTCTTAGAAGTTGTTCCACCTGTGGGAATGTGCTCTTCTCCCTGTCTGCCTCAAGTACCGGGGATTCGTTCGTGATTTGGAAGATCTAGAAGAGTCTCATGTTTTCTGGAGTGGTGCAGACCCAGTTGGGGGAAGAATTTCTAGCTCAGGGTTCCTGCTGCACAGAGGACCATGGCAGCCTCCCGGACAGCCTCACGGTCTCCTCGCGACATCGCCAATGTGATGCAGAGGCTGCAAGGTAAGAACAGAAATTTCTGTGTGTGTGTGTGTGTGTGTGTGTGTGTGTGTGTGTGTGTGTGAAGTATATTTTAAAATTCAAATACCAGGGCCAGGGAGCTAGCTCAATGGCACAGCAACTGCCTGGCAAGAGCAAGGTCCCAAGTTTGATTCCAAGTACAAAAAAACCCAACCAACCAACCAACCAACCAACCAACCAACCAAACAAAAACTCCACTACAAAATCTATCAAAATTGCTTAGATTTTATTCAATTTGATGGAATTATAGTGAGGAATGGAGTTGATGTCCTTTATTTCAATATTTCCAAGGGAATTTGTGTTGTCTTAGGATACTGCTGTCTTTGTGTAGGAAGCAAAGGCAAAGATACAGCTCTGTTTATGCTGCTTATGTCTGAGTTAATGTGATCTGAAGGAACTTTCAGGGTCCAGTTAGGAAACCAAAGCCATTGCCAAATGTGCCAATGCTGTCCACCAAGAATATCAGTAATGATAACACCAGGTCAAGAGGGTCTGAGAGAGGAGGTGACATGATGACACTAAGGATTAGATAGAGTTGGCCTCATCCTGCATCCCTTGTTGCTGCTCTTTCTCTTAAAAGCAAACCACCTTCTAGAAGAGAAAAACAGTGAAATGCTTGGGCAACTACTAGGTGAACTCCCTTTGTTAGTTTTCTCTAAGCATGTTTAGTCTTTAAACCGTAAGCCTGCTATCACCTGTAGCTATATTAAGGTGCTGCTTCTTTGTCGTAATTCCAATGGCCAGTGGCCCCCGCCCATGCTTTAAATATATAGCTTTAGGATACAGAATTTCTAAATTTAATGAAAAAAGATAAACTTTCATAACAAAATAATAGAAGAAGGGGAATTTTTACATTGCATGATGTTATCTTCAAAGTAGCTAATGAGAATATAAGATATGGGCACTAAAAGTTCTCAACAGATATTAGCACAAACCTGCCTTTTCAGTGAACTAAGAGACACTAAATTACTTGCCAAATTTCCCAATTTTGAAAGGTTTTTCTCTCATGTCTGTCAAGAAATTGGAAAAATAATCTTACAGTTTGTCTTTTTAAGCACTGTAGTAGCTCCAGCAAGTTATCATTGTGATTTTGTACTGTGGATATTGTGTGAATCCATGAGGAACCTGGTTTCTTTGCTTGCAGCGGATCTGAAGGGCAAAGCAGGAGAAGCCAGTTAAGGATTCTTGACTTTCAGAAAAGAGACCCAGCACTTCAAGCTGGATGTTTATGGCCCACGTCAGGCTCTTAGATCCAGAACATCAGGCAGTGGAACTGGGTCTGGATCAACTCCTCTGTGTCAAATCAGGGACCCCCAAATGACTGAAATGTTCTGACTCAAGTGAACCATTCCTTCTGCTCACCTTCCCCAGGTTGCTGTGTCATGCCTCAGCAGTGGATGATATTTGTTTCCCATTTATTGTTATGTGCAGAAAAAAATCTGTGTTAAATAGAACAACTGATTTTTGTCGAATGTGCAATGATAGAACTTTTCTCCAGTTCTCTGGCTGGGTCTGTTCTGTACCAGGCCTCTTGGTAGAAGTTGTGCACCTTGATTTGGGTAGCTGGGGCCCTGAATTTGAGTTAGTTCCTCTGTGCTTCACTGTTTTTCTCAGAGCAAATTACTGAGTCATTCCATTCCTCAGTAGTACCATCTATGCATGATGGCAAAGCAGTCTACAGGGAGGGAAGATAATACAGATCATAGAGCAGATTTTCCCATGAGTTTGTTAAATGTGAACATTCTCCAGACAAAATACAAGCACATAATGAAAATAAAGGAAAGTGGTAAAAAGAACATTTGAAAGGACTGAGTCAGAATGCAACTGCTGCACAAGATGACTCTTTCTCTTCTTTGTTGGAATGTCCTTTCATTAAGGCCAAAGTCACTGGTGAGCAGAGATGGAGAGTACTGGTGCCCTGGGCTTTATCCTAAATGTTTTATACTGCTGTTTAACTGAGTTTCCTTGAGAACTGTGCCAAGTGAAAGAAAGAGCAGGAGCCCTTAGCATTGTGCTATGATGCTCAGTGAGGAACTATTTAGATGGCTTTATAGACAAGTCCTAGGATGAGGGGAGCTATAAAGCAGGCAGAGGAAACTCTGGGGAAGGCACAGCCTGATAATTTGTTGCAAAACTTTCTTACAAATTTTTTCTTTCCCTTTTCTTTCCCCTCCCTCTCTTCTCCCATCTCTCCTTCCTTCCCCTCCTTTTCATACCTTCTCTTTTCCTCTCCCCTCATCTTTCTTTTTCCTTTTCCTTTTGTGGTACTGGGACTTGAACTCAGGGCCCTCTCACCAAGCTATATCATTGGCACTTTTTGGTTTTTGTTGGGGTTTTTTGAGACTTAAATTGCCTCAGCTGACCATCAACTCACCATCTTCCTGCCTCAGGCTCTTGAGTCACTGAGACTGTATATATGCACGCCATACCTAGCCAGTTTTCTTCTAATTATGCAAATTTTTGGAAGAACATTAATGATCTTATGTATTTATGTTGTGTAAACCCAGCCATTTTATTACATAGTGAAATGACTATTCTAACTGTTTTCCATGAAAGAAAGATAATAACAAGTCAGAATACTAAAAAAGAACAGTAAGCCTTATAATTCAGAAAATGATAGAAGTATTTTGTGTATATAGATTACTAATAGCCACAAATGTAAGGTCTGCCCCGCTATAAAATGGGACGCATGTGGCCTGCAACAGTGGAAGCAAAGGCCGGTGGCAGGAAGTGGGTGTGCCTGGTGACAGATCTACCTGCTAGTTCTCTCTGCTGACTCAGCCGGCCAGGTGCTGTTCTCCAGAGGTGAGTTGTTCCTCCTCACCATGGTTCTCTGCTTAAACAGGGGTCAGCGCTTCCAGACAGTGGAGACCTGGCATTCACCCAGAGTCTTTTGAAGCCTTGCTTACCTGCTCTAAAATCCATATAGGTGACCGAGAGCCTAATAAATTGAGGGCCTGGCAGCCCAGCTAATTAATACAATTGAAAAAAGCTAAGTCTATGAGCTTAAATAAAACCATACTTGCTGTTTTCAAAATTCAAATCCATAAGAGCATTCTTCTTGGTCTTCTTTCATTGCCTGGATAGATGAGTAGCTAACAGTATTTTGCCCCTGTTCTTGGCTCATTGTCGTTTAAGAACCATCAATAAGTGATAAAGAGCATGCAGCTTTAAGTAATGCCAACATACCATTACTCTCCAGTTTATTTAGTCTGCTACTATAATTGTTGACTTTTTTTTTTGTGCTTTTAATTTGTATTCCCAGTACTAGGAATTTCAAGCTCACACACAGATTGCTACGCAATTTAGTTGCTACTGTAGCAGTTTAATACTCCACCTTTGCCAATATTTGTGCTTGTTTGAGCCTAATGTTTTAGGCCGGGATCCTAAATTATGGATGAATTGTCAGACTGCAATGCGGAGTTTCAGTTGCTTGTAAGAATAATGAATGTTTCTGTAGCTTAATCAATTTCAATAGAAGCTTAAAAGCAAGTACGGAAAATAGTGTAATATAAGGATATTAATCTTTAAATGCTCCTAATTAGTGTGTCTATTTTTTGCTTTTAAGTGCTGAGAAGATCCATTTAATAGGTGGCTTATGGAATCATTTCAGATTTAGGTCACATCAAAGAAAATAAGTTTTTAGGTTATAAATTCTTTAAGATAATGGCTGTATTTGAAAATTCTTTGTAAAGTTTCGTAGTGTTTCTGAATATCATTTACTTAAAAGTATTAATTGAATGATTTTTTTACTGACCAGTTTTCATTTGAATATAATATATTAAACATTATAGATTTTTGGGTCACCATACCAGTGTTAGTTCTTATATGATAGGGTGACATCAATGCAAATGGTAAGTGGCAGAAAAAAATGCAACAGGGTGTGGAACGGCGTCATATAGAGCAATTTAATTTTAAAGAAGCAGCATTATCTGCAGCAAAGGTCAAATTTTGATTTCTAAGTCTTTGAAGGCAAACCAAGAAAGCATTTTTTTACTGTTAGAGATACATCTATAAAATTTGTCAACTATTTCATAGAAGATAATCATGCCCTTTTCTTAAAAAGGTTTTATAGGACATTTTAAATCACTTTTGCTTACATAGAGTATTTATGTAATAGTTTATTGCAACATAAAAGAAAGCCTCAAATGAAAAATTTTGCTTAAAAATAATAAAATAATAATAAATAATAAAAATGTAACTTTCTTGTAGTCTAAACTCAGTAGCTATGAACATAGCTTAGTAAAGAAAACTCTGCATCTTCTAATTTTGTATAGTGCCCTGAGAGATTATGTTTTATATTTTATTACTCTGATTTAATGACCTTTCTTATGAAACCATAAAACTGTGTCAAATTCCCATTAATTTTATTTAGGCTGAAATTCTCCTTTGGGTTTAATCTCTCTCTTTTTACGTGAATGATGAGTGACAGGGCTTCAAATTTCAATTAACACCAAACAAGAATAATTTCTACATATTTTGGAATATCATCATTAAATAAATATTTGACAATAAGCGAATAAATCATGATCCATTAATTAATGATAAAATTAGTCCGGACATATGAAAGCAAAAGAAGAAACTGTTTCAGTTGGTGTTGCTTTGTCTGGGTTGATTTGAAGAAATAAGTGAATTCTGTTTTTAATCAGAATAATGTTTTGAACATAAAGTCACTGGAAGAACACACTTTCCACCTGGATGTGTTATTACACTGACCTCTCAGATGTGTCTGTGTTGTTCTTACAGAGAAGAGCTGTAGATGAAGCTTCCTTCCCTAGGATAGATTCCTTGTCAGTATCCTTGCAGATGCTTTAAAGTGTTTACTTCTGTGTGATTCATAGTCCTGCAAACCCTTCTACGCACAGAGCTGTTTTGTCCACTGTGATACATAAAGCACCTTGGACCTTCTGATTTTCAGTGACCTACATAATACCAACTGTCAAATAGCAAAGGAAAGCAGATAAATCAGAAATAACAAATAC